CTCTGGTAACCACATGTCTCATCTCTTTTCCTGAGTTCACTTTTAGTTTTTGTTTTAGATTCCAGGTATCCGTGAGATCCTGTAGTATTTGTCGCTCTCTGTCGGGCTTACTTCACTTAGTGTAATGAAGGCTTTATGTTTGCACGGGTGGTAGGATTTCCTCGTTTTTTAATGGCTGAATAATATTCCATTGTACACATTCGTACCACAATGTCTTTCTCCATTCATCCATCCGTAGACACTGGTTGCTTCCGTGTCTTGGCTGCTGTGAGTAATGCTGCAGTGAACATGGGGTGCAGATACCTTTTTGAATTAGTGTGTTTATTTTTTAAACATATATATTCCCCAAATTGGAATGCTGGGCCATATGGTCATTCTATTTTTCATTTTTGAGGAACCTCCATACTGTTTTCCACAGTGGCTGTGCCCATTTACAATCCCACCAACAGTGCAAGAGGGTTCCCCTTCCTCTGCATCCTCGTCCACACCTGTTATTTCCTATGTCGTTAATTTTAGCCATTCTGACAGGTGTGAGGTGGGATCTCACTGATACTGAGTGATGATGAGCATCTTTTCATGTCTGTTGGCCATCTGGATGTCTTCGCTGGAGAAGCATCTATTCTGGTCCTTTGCCCATTTTTAATTGAGACGTTTTTCTGCTACAGAGTTGTATGAGTTCTTTCTGTATTTTGGAGATAAACCCCTTATCAAATATAAGGATTGCACATATTTTCACCCATCCCACAGGTTGTCTTTTCACTTTGTGGATGGTCTCCTTTGCTGTGCAGAAGTTTTTAGTTTGATGTTGGTCCACTTATTTATTTTTTTACTTTGATGCTTGAGCTTTAGGTATCACATGCAAGAAACCGTCACCAAGACCCACGTTGGGGAGCTTTGTGTCTGTTTCCTTCCAGTAGTTTCTTGGTTTCAGGTCCTACATTTAAGTCTTTGATCCCTTTCAAGTTAATTTTTGTCAGTGGTGTGAGGTAGGGGTCCAGCTTCATTCTTCTCCATGTGAATATCCAGTTATCCCAGCGCCGTTGATTGAAAAGATTGTCTTCTCTCCATTGAGTGTTCTTGGCTCTCTTGTCAAAGATTAGTTGACCATATATGCCTGGGTTTATTTCTGGGCTCTCAGTTCTGTTCCATTGGTCTGTTTTTATGCCAGTACTATATTGGTTTGCTTACTATTGCTCTACAGTATATCTTTTTTAAAAAAATTATTTATTTGAGAGGGAGCAAGAGAGAGAGAGCAAGTGTGCACACAAGCAAGGGGCAAAGGCAGAAGGAGAAAAAGACTCCCTGCTGAACAGGGAGCCCGATGCAGGGCTTGATCCCAGGACCCTGAGATCATGACCTGAGCCGAAGGCAGACGCTTCACTGATGGACACCCCCAGACACCCCTCTATAGTCTAGTTTGGCATCAGGAAGTGTGATGCTTCCCACTTTATTCTTTCACTGACTTCCCAGGTGTGGTTATCAGTTTCACTTTGAAGATGGGGAAAGCCACAGGTCAGGCTCTCTGTCCAGGTGCTGCTGTAAGCAGGGCTATAGGATGGCCTGGTGAAGTTTCTGGTCGGGCGGGCCAAATACTGGCTGTATTTGGCAAAAGCAGAATTAGCTTCCCTGCCTGGCACAGTGGGAGAAGCAGCTCTAATGCCAGGAAAGCTTTTTGCTTGTTGTTTTCACTCAGGCCAACCCATGCCCCCAATGCCCTGGATGAACAGGTACAGTGGCTTTGCTCTGTTGGCTTTGCCTGCCATTTCCCCAGCCGGAGCAGTCAAATACAGCTTCCTGGTGTGCTCGCAGGCTCTTCAGGTCCAATGGGGCTGAGAGCCATAGCAGCTAGGGCCATGTCTCATCCCTTGAGGGCTGCCCCTGTGTCTCATGCCTTATCTGGGTGGGGGTAGGGGGGCTCCTCTCACTTTCCCAGACTCTCCATTTGGGAGGGTCTGGGAGCTACCCCCAGCCTTGGCCATGAATTAATCCTCCTGCCTATGCAGAGTGGGGAAGCCCTCTACGATGGGCAATGGCTTTGTCCTGGGGGTGATTTGCTTGCCGCCTGTCTCTTGGCTGGAGGGTTAGAGGGCCACATGGCTTCCATGTGTTCCTTCCGGCCCTCGGGTTACATGTGGTAGGTAGACCCTCTCCACTGTTGCAATGATGACTTGGGCTGTGCTGGTGTGAACTCCATGTGCCAAGGTCTCTGCTGGTTGTCGTAGATCCATGCTGGATGCTCCCACCCGCATCACAGTCAGATTCCGGTGCTCCGGCCCCACAGATTTGCCTGCCATCCCTGTACAGCTAGATCAGAGTAGGGGCCCCCAGAAGTGACCTGCAATGCTCAGGGGAGACCTCTAGGTGGGCAGGGTGGGATCCTCTAGTGGTGTTTTGCTCATGCAGAGTCGTTGGCTATTATTGTTGTGAAGCAGAATGATATCAGCAAGGATATCTGTGTCATCATCCCAGTGACATCATTCCCTCCAGGCGTCTATAGTTTTAACAAATACTGCAGGTGACAAAGCAGGAGGTCTGAGGATGCAGTTAACACTGGTTACATTTCTTTGGATCCCTACATTCCACCTACTATGCACAGGCCAGAAAGTGTATGGGATGCTACCTGGGGTCTAAGAGGGACCATCAGGGGCCCTCAAGAGGCAGAAACACCCAATTGGTGGTGATTGTAAAGAGGAGGAGGATGGGCAGGATTGGGATTGGGAATCAGCACATAGACCTGAGGGATCAGCCTTGGATCTGGGGCACATGGGTGTAGAGCCAGGGAAAGGCCACCTTGGGAGCCAGTGGGAGCCACCAGGGTTGGGCAGGGAAGGGCCAGGATCCAGAGTGCAGAGAGGAAGAAATATGGATGCCAAGGCAGCTTCCTTGAGGAGCAGGAGCTCCAGAGGAAGAGGAAGAGGGGGAGTATGAGGATGGTTACTGGTCTGTTGACTGGTTTTGCAAATGTCCTGCTCTCTTGTCTGCACTTGCTGTGAGGCAGAGACAGCCAGCAAGAACATGGTCTCAGATGGCTGTGGGGTCAGTCCCTGCCTATGACCATGACCTTGCACAGGATACTTGATTCTTGAATGTGTGCACTTATTTTTAGGGATTTTTTTAGTCTCTTTTTTTGCATTTTAAAGTTTTTATTTAAATTCAGTTAACATAGAATGTATTATTGGTTTCAGAGGTAGAGATCAGTGCTTCATTAATCTTATATAACACCCAGTGCTCATCACATCATGTGACCTCCTTCATGTCCATCCCCCAGTGACCCCATCCCCCCACTCCCCTCTTCTCCAGTGACCCTCAGTCTGTTTCCTAGGATTAAGAGTCTCTTAGGGTTTGTCTCCCTCTCTGATTTCGTCTTGTTTTTTTTTTCCTCTCTTCTAAGTCTCTGTTTTGTTTCTTAAATTCCACACATGAGAAGATTTCATTTTTTTGATGGCTGAGTAATACTCCATTGTATAAATGTACCACATCTGTATCTATCCGTCTGTCGATGGACATCTGGGCTCTTTCCATAGTTTGGCTGTTGTGAACATTGCTGCTATAAAGATTGGGCTGCAGGTGCCCTTTGGATCACTACATTTGTAACTTTAGGGTAAATACCCAGTAGTGTGCATGTACTTTAAAATGTAGGTTTTGTTATTATTTAGATATGGAGAGGCCAACAGACCAGGAAATGACAGTCATTGAAAGGATAGTTAGTCACACTTCCTAAAAGGAGGGGTCACGCCATGCTGCAGGGGTCCACATGAGGAGGTGCCAGAGATGGTCAGGAGACAGAGGTCACAAGGGGCAAACATGGGCCTTCACTGTAGTTTGCAGGGAAGGAACACACAAGGTAGGGTCAGCAGGCTAAGGGCTGGCCAGTTTGAACAATTTCAGGGGGCTGTCCTGAATCTGGTTCTGAGCAATCAGGGTGGGCGTCTCGCAGCCTGGAGTGTGAGGGCCCATAAAGGAGCTGGTTGAGGTGTGGGCTCTGGACTCGGGGGTCGAGTACCAGGTCTAGGAATCAGCTAGCCCTGAGGGGCTGTCTCTCCAGGGGCAGCAAGACTCCAGGTGTTGAAGCACAAGGGACATCTGGTTAATGCAGTGTGTTAGACAGTGTGGGAGGCAGAATCATGCTCCCCCAAAGATGTCCACATACTGACCCCCCCAGAACCTGTGTGGATGTTACTTTATACAGTCAAGGGGAGGGTCTGCAGATGTGATGTGTGATGCGAGGTTTTCCTGGATTATCTGGTGAGCCCAATGCAAAGGGTCCCTAGCAGAGGAAGGCAGGAGGCCGGCTGCCCTGCAGGGTGCCGCAGGCTCAGAGCCTGTGTTGGAGAAGAGCCTGACTCTGGGGAAATGTCATTAAGGGCAGCGCTGTCACTTGCAGGGATCTGAGAAGTCATGCCAGGGAAGGGAGCTGGACACACACACTATGTTGCTTTGGGCTCTAACCCCACCCCGCCCCCCGCTGCAGGTCTGGAGGTTCTGGGGGAACACCATCAGACGAGCGTCTCTGAAGGATTGGCACTGGCCTGTGCTCTCTCCACTCTGCAGGCACCTGGGGCCTGAGCTCCCAACCCTTTGCAATTAGTGTGTGTGCTGGGGGTCACTTCCTAATTTACCTCTGTGGGTGGCTCCTGTGTCACCCCAGTGATGCTGACTCTTCTGAACTGCTAGGCCCTTTATAGCCTTTGCCACACAAGATCAATACCTTTTCCACCGGGCTGTTCAGTGTCCTTGCAGGTGGCTGCACTGTGGCTCCCACATGGGACGGACAGCTTGTGATGGTCCCAGGACTGTGCCGGGCCTCCTGCAGCTGGTACATCGGCCCCTCCAGCACGGGGAAGAGAGGCGGGCCGGGTCTGAGTGGAAAGGTGCTGGACACCGGGTCGCCCCTCTCCTAGCTGCCAGGGGGCGGGCGGCTGGGCCCCAGGCCGGCTGGAAGCATGCATGTGACTGTACCCCCAGTGCCCTCAGGAGGTTGTCCATCCCGCCTCTCACAGGGACGTTTGTCTCGGCCTTTGCCGTGCTGTGCGGAGCCCGTACCGACCTCCCGGACAGGCATGTGTGCTGTGTCTTCTGGCTGAACATCGCAGCGGCCCTCATCCAGACCCTCACGGCCATCGTCATGGTGGGCTGGATCATGAGCATCTTTTGGGGCATGGACATGGTCATCCTTGCCAGTGAGTAGCCACCTGTACTGTGCCTTCTGGGTCAGGGGCTGGACCAGGGCTGGAGGAGTGTCAGGAGCCTAATGGTCTGGGTGATTGTGATCCTTCCCGCAGGATGTTGGTGCTTTGTGGCGAGGTCTACTCCTCCCCGGAGACTGGGCACTCAAAGGGGCTCCCCTGTGTCCTCGTCACTAGAGTCTGCAGCCGCCTGGCAGAGGGGACCCTCCTTCCCCCTCTCCTGCACTCCCAGCCCAATGCCTGCAGGGAGTCCCAAGTGCAGACCCATAGAAACCTCACCCAGAGGATGTGAACAAGACAGGACAGAGCTTCTGTTCAGCTTGGACGCGTGGGGCATCCTATTTGTCAAAGGAACAGCCCCTGACCGCCCTGGGTAGCTGGGGTGTGGCCCACATGAGGTGATGACCCTGTGCCTAGCGGCCCCGTCTCCATCATGCAATTTTCAGAAAGAAGGAAAGTGTATGTGGCCTCTCCACCCACAGGAAACCCTGTAGCTGAGGCTGTTGTTCTGTTTTGTTTTTATAGCCAGACAGCACGGTTTTCTCCTTCCTTTGATCTAAGCTTTGTTCATTGTTGAGGGGACCTTTGCCAATCACTTAGCACTTTATGATTCAGACACAAAACTGTTTTGTGAAAGTGTTAATGGAACCAAGTTAAGTTTACCAAAACGACTTACCATCTATGAAGCAACCCAGAAAGACAGCGCACGTGCCTGGAAGCAGCCCCGCGAGTGGCCAGGCACCCCGTGTGCGTCCCCTGCATTTTCACACGTCTGTCTATGGCACAGGGCCCCTGTCCACGGGGCCCTTGCCCAGGAGAATCTGAATCCTCTCAGGCACCACGTTGCCTCTCTTCACGCCCCAGGCGCCTCCTGGTGTCCTAGCAGCAAAACCATTCATAGGCGGGACTGTCAATGTTAGAGAGAAGGACAGCAGAGACAGGAGAGGAATGATCTAGGATCACCTGTAGCAGACTGTGCTTTCAGGATCCTCAGAAGATGCAGGGCACACACAGATGCCAGGGCCAGGCGAGGCCTCGGGTCGGTGACCAGGCAAGCCACTCGGCCAGAGAAAATGCAAGCCCTGGAGCCTGAGTGAGATCCAGCAGAGCCAGTGGATTGGACAGAGTGGCTGCCTGGATGCAGGTCTTCAGCAGCAGAGGTCAGGGAAGGAGTGGGTGGATGTTGTGTCGGGACATCCCAGAGTCAGGGCAAACCAGGCAGGCCCTGGGAGGCAGGGGCAGCCAGAGAAACAGGAGGGGAACACCAGCCCTGGCTGGCAGCTGGGGGTGGGCTGGCCCCATAGCGGGCTAGGCTGCACGGGCTGCTCTCAGGGCTGCGCTGCCCTGTCAGGACATCGAGGCACACGGACCCCGGGAAGGGAGTAGGCTGAGAAGGCAGCGAGTAAGGCAGGCCCTTTATGGGAGCCTCTCCCTGTGCACTTGAGCAAGGCCTGCAGAGCACTGCAGACAGGCAGGGAGTCATGCATGCTGGTCACTTCCCTAGGGGCCTGTGGCACGGCCTCTGCAGGCTTCTGACTCTTTCCCGGCCGGAACCTGGGAGGCCTGCTCTGGGAAGCATCCTCAGCTGCAGTTGCAAGGCCTGACTCCTTCGACTTCTTCTTCCCATATCACCCCATTGTCTGGCCAGGCACTTGGACATGTTAGGAAGGGAACTTTCTGCTAAAGTGGAACACACCCACATCTTAATAAAAGTGAGTTGGCGCCTAATCTATAGAGCTTTCTGGTTATTTTTATGTTGGTTACCCTTAAAACCCAGGAACCACAGCGTCTGTGTCTTAGAGATAACTGAAAGGGCCCCCCAGTCAGGTCCTAGATGAGGGACTGTGGACCCCAAGAAGCAAGATGGGGACCTGGTGACTTCTCTTTCCATCACCCCAGACGGTGGGCTCAGCCAGAAACCCCTATCTTATGGCTGGTGCGTCTGGTATAATCAGGCTGCAGGATACCCACATTCCCACCCTGCTCCAGGGCCCCAGGCCTTTGCTGTGGCCAGTACACTTCTTGGACGTCTGCACACAGGCTCCAGGGATGCTGTTTTTTGTGCCCGACTCTTCAGACTTGGCTGCACAAGAAAACCCACCACATTTCACTGCGGCCCACCAACCCCTTATGCCTGCCAGACTCAGCCACCCATCTCCCCAGATGCCTTCCCGCTTTTCCAGAAAGGAAACTCACCCTGGAAGGATATGGAATTGCCACCCTTGAGATGGGGCTGCAGGCTTGGATGGCTCTGAGCAACAGTGCAGCGTCCATGTCCCAGGATGCCCACCCTGAAGGGAGGTCCTGTGAATGACTCGTCTGTCCTAATTGATAGTTGAATAGGGCCACTCCAGGCTTTTCCTGCAGAAATGAAGGAAACCTCTCAGTGGAAACAGTGCAGGATGACTTTTTTTTTAAGATTTTATTTTTATTTATTTTTTATTGACTTATTTATTATTATTATTTTTTATTTATGAAAGACAGAGAGAGAGAGGCAGAGACATAAGCAGAGGGAGAAGCAGGCTCCCTGCAGGGACCCTGATGCAGGACTCGATCCCAGGACCCCAGGATCATGACCTGAGCTGAAGACAGATGTTCAAGCACTGAGCGAGCCACCCAGGCATCCTTTATTTTTATTTTTTTGAGAGAGGAGACAGAGAGAGAATGAGCGCAGGAAGGAGGTGGGGCAGAGGGAGAGGGAGAAGCAGACTCCCTGTTAAGCAGGGAGCCCACCCTGGGGCTCAGTCCCAGGACCCTGAGATCACAACCCGAGCCGAAGGCAGACACTTAACTGACTAAGCCACCCAGACGCCCCGAGGATGACTTCCATACAGGAGTGTCCGGGGGGTCATCTATACACACACTATCAAGAAAACCCCCCAAGAGGACAAGAAGGGATCTAGGTAGAAGTTAAAGCCAGGGACTTTACAAGCTGCTCTGATAATAACAAGCCAACGAGAGTCAGTCCTGCTGGAGGGTGGAGAGATACGTGGTCTTCCTCTGCTGTCCTCTCCCTGCTGCCACGCCCACGGCAGACACCGCTAACCTCATCGTGACACCTTCTGCTCATCCATCCACGTGTTCTCCGCACGGGGCTCGGGTGCCACCGCCTGTGGATTGAGATGTCTGTACAACAAAACCTATTTGCCCCGTGGCCTGGCCTCGGTTTGTCCCAAGGCATTAGGCTCTGCGAACGTGGCTCCTGTCCCTATGCGGGATGACCATGCGGCTCCAGCAGAGCCCAGCTGGGGCCAGGAGGGAGCACCTCACATCCCGAGTGTGTCCTGCAGTCGTCCCTCTGCAGGTGGACCCGGCAACCCAGAGCGAGGGGCAGGAGGTGGCCCCCAAGGGAGCTTCTAGGTGGAGCTGCAGGCTGTGCACCTGGGGAGGGGAGGGGAGGGCCGGGGCCGCACCCCTGCAGCCCTGTACCCACCTGCCGGCCCCTGGACCACGGGCACAGCACGCACATGGCCGGCCACTGTTTAGACTTCAGCCAGGCCCTCTGGCCTCTGTTTTCACCCTGTTTTCTCTTTTTCTTTTCCTCCTCTCCCTCCTGCCGCCTCACATCCCTGTGTTGTCCCAGTTTCCCAAGGTGAGTCTGCTGATGGGCGCTGCCTGCCACCCCCCCTTGCTCCCCTCCTCGTGCCCCTGAACCCCTCCCCCACTCTCACCCCAGCCAGCTGCCAGACTTTTATCTTCTTTCTGATTTTTATCTATTTTCTTTATTGTGTGCTGCGGTATATTCTGTGGTGTTTTCTTTTTGCGTCTTTGTTTGCATTTCTAGCTTTTGATTTTGGAAAATGTTGTAGAGCGGACAAAAGTTGAGGGCCTAGCGTCCTAAGCCCCTCAGGCCTCCCCCCGTTTTCAGGAACTCATGGTCACTGTCCTGTTATCTGTGACATCTTATCTCTTTCCTGCATTCCCCCCACTCTATTTAGGCTTAAAATTGGTGAATAATTTGGTAAATAATGAGAGAAAACAACCATCCAGTCCACAGAAGCTCCTCTGGGGGCCCAGAAGCCAGCTCATGGTAGGGTTGTGGGGGGCATCTCACAAATTCCAACCTCATAATTTCATCTCTAAATATTTCACGGCTAAATTTCCCCACCGGTCTCATGACGATCAACAGTGTTTTAAAGGCTCGGCACCTTCACTCCTGTTTGTCTGTGTCCCAGATGTCCGGCTGGTGGAACACGCACACGGTGACAGTCTTTGGTGTTCCACCTTCTTGTTTTTCTTTCTGTCCTCCTCTCTGTCCATATGTCCCAGATGCCTGGCGCTTGGGGAGGAAGGCTGGCTCAGCACTTTCTCCCAAGACTTGCCTCGGGAAGTCATGCCAGGCCGGGTTTTTGGGCAGTGGCTTCAGGGATGTGCATTCAGGGGCACGTTGATCATTTTGCCACCCCCACCCCAATGCCCTCCTGTCCTCTATCCCTGCTAAACCCAAAGTCCCGCAGTTCTCTCGGGACTGTAAAGTCCATGCCCTTGCAAACAGGTGGACCCTGAGTATAGCAGTCATTCACACCTCAGTGTGAATAAGATCTCATGACCATATGGCAGTTCACAGGCACTTCCTGGAAGCAATCCTAAAGGAAGCAGGCTTCTAAATATCTCTCCTCTGCTTCTTCCTCACAGGCTACAAGGAGCAGGGCATCCCACAGCAGCTGTGAGCACGAAGGAGCCACCGAGAATTCCAGGGTGATCCCATGAGGGCTGCACCAGGCAGCAGTGGGCACCAGGACCTTTACATATTCTCTTCTGCCATTTCCTGGGTTTGGAGTGGAAAGGGGGGATTTAAAAAACATTATTTATTTTGAAAACGCATCTGCTTTTCTTGGCAGGCTGTGAGGCTGCCAGCCCCTCCCCCTGTTCCAGAAAGACACAGGCACCCCGTGTATCTCAGGTGGGGTGGGGAGTGGGGGCCAGATTACTGGCAGCGAGGCTGGAATGCGTGGCTCGCCCCTGCCCTGCACAGCTCCCTGCCCACTGCCAGGGTGCACTGGGACTTCCAGGCCAGGCAGCAGGGGTCACCGAGGGTCAGGATGTGGCCGAGCCTTCCTCTGGGTCCCAGCCCCTGTCTGAATGTTTGCACTGTGGTCTCCCCGGGGGCCGAGCCAGGGCAGGAGTGAGGATGCACACACTCCAGCCCAGTGCTTGCCCTCAGCCATCCCAGGACTGCCTGGGGATGGGTGCCCGAAAGTCTCTCCTGGCCCTGCACTCCCGTGGCAGCCAACCCTTCACCCACCCCCTTCTCGCCACTGAAATCTCTGGGCCTGGGTGTGTTTTGACCTTTGTTTCCCTAGAAAGCTGCCAGTGACTCCATCCATGGGTGAAACTGCTAAAATGGCCAGGTGTCCATACACAGAATCCCCAGCACAGGTGTGAGCAAGCACGGGTCAGCAGCCTTTCACGTTATACTTAACACCACTCCTGGTCCACAGCCCTTCTCCTGAAATCCTTGGGGCTGGATGGGTCTCTGAAATCAGAAAACTTGGATTTGAGAAAGAATAAGAGCCATTTATTGTGCATTTCCTAACACCCCAGCATTCTAAAGCAGCTCCCCACCATCAAGCACGTGACTGTTCTTGCAAAGAATCCTGTGAAAAGTCAGACGATTTGGGTTCAATAAAAACCATACATAGTCTCACCTTGCTTGGTTCAGGACCGATTTTGGCATAAGTTATAGAAGAAAACTGAGCAGCCAAGAGCTTTTGGGGATTTAGAATTGGGAAAAAAAAAAAAAAAAAGATTGTACGGGGTGGATTTCTTGCTGCTCTCTTGCAGACGAGACCCTGGGACTCTGCTGGTGTTACACAGAGATTCTTCCCGTTGGGAAGGGTCTGTTGGGGCCCCCAGGGCACCTGTACACCTGGTTGTTAGGGAGCCGGACCCCAGGGCGGGGGAAGGAGCTCACAGGAGGTGTTGGGGCCACTGGGGGTCGGGTACTGATCTGAAATGAAGAGACAGGTGATCCAAAGTCACAGTGACAAGCTGAGCCTCTCCATGTCTGTTTTCATTTGCTTTCTGACGTGGTAATTGCTGAACAGTAGGACTGGCCTGAAGCTGTCTGCACCCCCACTGGACTCCCCAGAGGGCTTCTAACTGTCGGAGACTCAGAGTGCCGCCAGGGCTGGAACAGGGACTGGTCTGGTCTTTTCCCTGTGGCTGGATGGGCGTGCCTGGGGAGCCTGCGTGTGGGCAGGCCCCTGACCCCCCGAGAGCTGCTTTGGGGCACCTGAGTCTCCATTCTCAACCCTTAGCCGGGGGCAGCTGCCCGCTTACCTCACCCACTGGGCTTTCTGATTACAGTCCTGCCAGGGAAGCACCTCGGGCTTGCTGTGTTGCTGTGGATTGGGCAGCTCTCTGCTTCCATGGAAAACAAATCCCCTGCAGCCAGTACCCCCCAGCCCCCAGCTCCGACTCAGAGGCGGGCTCTCTGTACCCCACCTGATCCTGCCCCACCATCCGCCTGCCCAGGCCCAGGCTCCACTTTCTGAGCACCTGGCTCTGTCTTTCTTCCTGCCTCCCTCTCTGGCTGACCCCAGCCAGGTTTCTGCTGTTTCTTTGTGTTTGGAATCCTGTGCATTTTCAAGGCGGGGGATCAGATTTGGTTTGATCCAGAAAGCCAGAAGCTTTTGGTGTGTGAAGACGGCGCCGTCTGGGCCAAGAAGACAGCAGGTGGCTGCTGGCTGCTCCCCAGGAGGCTGCGTCAGACGAGGGAGCCTCTGTAGCCAGGTTAGAGGAGCTCTGGCTGAGGGACGTGACAGGTCCAGCCACCCTCTCACGGCCCCTCACCCCAAACCCTCGGAGGGTGGCAGAGTGGGGCCCCCGCTCTGGGAGCATAGGATCCTTCTTTCCTGCCTCAGGCTGGGGTGGCTGCTGAGAGGTAGAGAAGAAAGAACGATTTATGTTGCATGTTTAGTGGCAATCAGATATAGGTGCAGTTTTCTTGAGTGACAGGTGTCACCAAGAGCCCTGGCGTGGGATGGCTAATACAGGGGCTCGTGGGCCCCCAAGGCTACTTCAGCTCCTGCAGCTCCCCTCAGCTACCAGCTGCTTCCAAACTTGAGAGGATGTCAGCCTCCAGAGGAAACCCTTCCCGGGTAGCTGAGGGGTGTGAGGAATGGGGGGACCCCCATCCTCTGCACACCCAGTCAGTGAGGATTGCCATGCGGGGGAGCAGCTCCAGATAGCGACTCTCTACATGAGCCTGTGGGCTTAGAGTCACCGTTTTAGATGTGGGGCAGTGGCCAGTGTTTCACAAGAAGGACAAGCTGGCCACACAGGCTGTTGGAAGGCCAGAGTTCACTTATTAAACACCAGCCAGCTGAAAAGTGGGATTCTCATGCCAGCAAGTGCTTGGTTGACACACAGCTTGTTGGTGACAGAACTGGGCTTGCCCTGGTGGCCCAGCATGTGGGCAATAGCCCAGAGGTCACAGGGCACACTTGAGGTGGGGGCCTTTCATTGCTCAGACTGTTGTAGGGTACTCCCCAGCTAAGGTATTTGGGGCAGGGATCGCAGGCATGCAGGGAACATCACTCCCCGTGAGATACACCCAGGACGTCATGGTGGCACTGGGACCAGAGTGGTGGCTCTCTGGAGCAAGAAGGAGGCCTGGGTGGCCCGGGAGCATCCTGTGCATAGCAGAGACTGTTTGGCTCTGAGTCCGGCTGGGAAGCCCAGGGCCCCTGTGGGGGCAGCGGGAGGCAGAGGGCTCCGCGCCCCAGTCCCTGCACCCCTCCTGCCTGGCCCCGGAGCCAGTCCCTGGCTGCACATGAGGGGAGGCTGGAAGGGACCTGAACCAAGATGCCTTCCCTCTGCTGCCCCAGCACCGTGCGTCAGCCTAGATAATGTTGGGCCCTTGCCAGGCAGAGCGTGGCGCATTTGACCTCTGAGGCCTCTTGCCCGAAGCCTGGCAGGGGTGCTGTCAGGATGCTGAGTTCCCAGATGTCAGGACCGAGGCGCCCAGAGAGCAAGGCCCGAGCCCAGACATGCAGCTCAGGGCGGCACAGCTGACTCACGGCCGGCATCGGAGCACTGCCGCAGAAGGGAAGGGGGTTGTGGGGCGCCGGGAGGCCTGGACGCCTGGACGCCTGGCCCCTGTGGATGCAGCAGATGACAGGGAAAGCTTCCTCGGCAAGGACTGGGAGCCTCCACAACGCGCCATCCTGGGCCACCCTCCAACCCACACCCCGGAGTGGCGACCAGGGCTGGAGCTAGCAGAGGAGTTGCCTGGGGCCTGCCACGGAGGATGGGGTCCCTCACGGCCACCGCCCAGGGGCTCCAGGCACTCTGACCCCCCACCCCCCTGAGCCATGGCTGCGACTGCAGCCTCATGCAGATGCCACTAGGGCGGAGGAGCAGTGGGGAGGATGCGCACAGAAGGGAGAGGAAACCACACAGTTGGAATTTCCCCGGGGAAGGGGCCAGGGCCCCAGACCTCAGAAGAGCCAAATGCCAAGCCCTGAGGCCTGCACCAGGTGGGGCCGAGTGCCCAGGCCCAGGAGAACGCCTTCCCAGGGCCTGAGACTCTCCAGGAGTAAGCAAGGGGTCCACTGAGGTGGTCCTTCTGTGCCAGTTCAGCTCTTGAAAAAAAAATCTGCAGGGTGTTCTCCTGGGAACCCCCAACCCTGCTCAGATGGGGTGAGTTTGCAAGGGTGGCTTTGGGGTTGGCTGGACAGGGGCTGCTGGGCCTGGGGCTGAGCCAGGGTGGGGCCTCCTGAGGCTTTTGTGCCCCTGGGTGTTTCTATGCTGTGAGAGATGCTGGCTGCCTCTGCATCATGTCAGCTGCTCAGGAATGTATCATTTAAGAGTGCGTCCCCTCCCTGCTGGTGGCCTCCGGTTTACTGTAGTATCCCGCCTTTTGCCAGTTGGCTTGAGGCTCTCGGCAGAGGCACTGGAGTTGGAAGAACACGAGTTGGAGGAGCACATTTAGAGCACCCCCTGCTGCGCTGACCTTCCCTGGAGACCATGACCTTGCATGCAAGGGAGCAGGGGCGGGGCGCGGGTGGCAGGGGCTGCTGCTGACCATCGGCTGCCATATGCTCCTGACCAATCTGCCCGGGGCTTGAGCCTCGGTTCCTTCTTCTCAACAGTCTTGCTGAGCTGCCCGCAGGCAGTTCTTGCAAGTGGGGCTCCCTGTGCTGTATCTGTGTGTCCAGCAAGCACTCAATGGGTACGGATGCGGCCTGGGGGGGCTCCTGGAGAGCAGTGTCCAGGCCACCTGCATGGGGGGAACATCAAGGTGAGCGGAGGCAGGGCAGCGATCACCCCGTGGAGGCCGCTGTGTGAGGCCAGAAGGCCAGGAGGCCATGCTGCAGGAAGGGAGGCAGGGTCAGCCTGAGGTTGGGGGTGGGGGGCGATGGTCCAGGTTCCACTTTTATCACTTGGTGGGCTCTGAGAGCTTCAGGATGTCCACGGATCATAGAGGCATGCCAGCCATGTGGGACTCACGAATCTGCCCTAATCCCTGTGGCCATGGTGAGGAGCCCCAAGCCACAAACACTGGGGCGACTTGTATCCTCAGTGCTGTTTGGCTCTCTTCTTGTCTCATGCCTCAGTTTGACCATCTGTAGGTTAGGAACAAGGAGGGTCTGGGCAGCCAATGCTATTCCCGTTTCTGTCAGAGCAAAGGCCTTGGGAGACAAGCCCGGGGCCCGGCAGAGGCAGAGGCCCCCTCCTGCACAGGCCCCATGGACACAGAACTGGCAGCTCTGGTGTCGGGACTCTTTCCAGTGATCCAGACACAGGGGCGTGCCGTTCCACGCTTCCCTCCTGATCCTGTCACGGCGGGAAGGCCGATGGCAGGGCCATCCTCATATGTGTCCCAAGTTTCCAGTGCATGTTGTCTCTCTGGATTTAGTCCTCAGTCCCTCTCACTGCCTGCCTGGATTTGCCAAAATGCCAGCCACCCCCCCGTCCAGGCCACTGTCACCCAGGTGGGCAGAAGCAGACATATGCACTCTCTCTTACACACATGCACACGCACACATGCATGCTCACAGCCCCTTTGGCTGCTGGGTGAGGGCAGGACTCAGGATTGGGACCTTAACCCCCACAGAGGGGCCCCTCACACTGCCCAGGAGCCATTCCTCCAGTGTGGGCCCTGGCGGGCGGCACTTGCCCTCGTCACTCACCCAGGGCCCAGATGCACACAGTTCCCTTTATCCAAAGGACCTCTGGGCCAGGCACCCTTCTTCCCAGGGCCCATGGCTCAGCAGTGCCAGCCACCAATCCACCCAGCTTGGCCTTCTGTGGCAGGGATAACATGGGATGTGGGTCTTCCCAGAGAGGAGGGGACCCTGATCCCTTTCTGGGCTCTTCTGGGGCTGCAGACAGTCCACCCCACAACCCTCCACCCTGCCCTGGATGGGAAGCAGTGAGGAGAGAAAGGGGCAGAGGTCATGCCCCCTGCCCTCTGCTTTCTAGGTTAGCACCTGGCCTGGTGACCCAACCAGGGAGTGGGTGGCAGGGGCCTCAGTGGCCTGGGCACCCCGTGGGAACACTTGACTTGGCTGGCCCTTTGCACAGGCTAAAGTACATGCTGTTGTACTTGGTGCCAAAAATTTTAAAACAACATACGTACAAATAGCACTGGTTCATGCCTATTAGCTGCCTTTGTATTTGGATGAGTGCTGTGCTGTGCTTTGTGCTTTGTAGCTTTGATACAGGATCAACTTTGTTTTGGTCTCTCTTCCTCCTGTTAAAGGAATCTCTGTCCATTTCTGTTCTGTGGTGAGACCCACTCCTGACCTCCCAGGGCTTCCTCGTCTTACTTCTGCTCAGACCCCGGGGGCCTCCCCGCACCTCCAGCCTCTTTCCCTGGGATCCCAGGCAGCCAAGGGAGTCTCCAGCCCATCCTAGTGACTGGAGCCTTCCTTGGTTCCACAAGAGGAAGAAACCTTACTGCTGGGGACCTAGGGAAGCTTCCAGACTTGCAGCTGGGGGCCCAGGCCGGCCTGCAGCTTAGCCTTCCCGATGCCCTCAGGACCAAGCCTGGGTCCCCACATTCCCTCGAGGCGCCAAGCAGGGTCCGGACCTCCCCAGTGCCCTGCCTGTTTTGGAAGTCCCAGCTCGAGCACCATTGCTATACCTGGAATGGGAAACACCGCGCATGACAACAGACCCCTGTGTACATATCTCCATGTACATATTTATACATTCTGATTATAAATATACAAAGCATGGCATCTCTTTGGCATTCCAAGTTTTTTTTTTTGTTTGGTTTTTTTACTTTTGGAAATATGGCTTTAGAAACTTTCTTCCTTTTCCTCTTTTCTATGTAATAAACACTCATGTGACCTTTCTAGTGGCTTCTCAAACCCTTGTGTGCTCTCGTTTTTCCAGCTGGTAGGCCACTGTCTTGAGGCCTGTCTCTGTGACATCCTCGCAGCCCGCAGGCTGTCCTTCCCCAGGGCAGGCCCGGCGCCCCTTCAGATTCTCGTCCCCCCCACCTGTTTTCCTGGGGTGCTGGTACAGCTCACCCCCAAAGGCCCCCATCTTTGGCAATCAGATCCCTTGCAGGGAGGATTTTGCCCACCAAGTTGGGCATTGGGCCCCCATGGGTTTTCCCAGGAACATGGTGCAGATGGGACTCATTTCCTGCTCAGCCGTAGACTGGCTATGGAGGGAACCATCTGGAAGTGTTAGGACAAGGTGAGGAGGACATATAATGAGCCACTGGTTGAGCTGACTTGAGCTGGGAGGGGAGAAGGAGCACTGACATATGCACTCTCTCTTACACACACACACACACACACACACACACACACACGCATGCACACATACATGCTCACAGCCCCTTTGCGAATCCCAGCTGGCATTTCCTAACGGGGTGGAGGCCCAAAGAGCTTATAGAATCTGTGGATGAAGACAGTATAGAGATTAGATGAACAAATGGGAATTCAGAAAGCTCCTGACAGGCAGATGTGATCCAACAAGAAGAAATCTATGGGCCGAATCTAACGGCCCAATGAAAGAGCTGCCCTGGGCTGTCAGCACCCCACTCTTCCCTCATGCTGGTAAGTCAAGTGCACCAGGAGCCACAGGTGGAGTTCTAGAAGCCTCATGTGCAGAACTGCAGTCAGCGCCCTGCAGTGGCCATGGAAGGTGGGTCTCCAGGTGTCACCTGGTCCACCCCCCTGCGACAGGCCCCACCTCTTACTGTTTCCTCACAGCAGCCTGAGACCCCTGAGACCGCTGGGTGGGTCCCTTTACACCCCTTACACAGGATGCTCCAGCCTGGCTTGTGGGAGACACTGTCTTCTCAAGGGCCCAGATGCCTTAGAGGGCTTCTGGCCACAAGTGGGTCCATTTCAAAGTCCAGCCTGTCCTGGAGACTCCAGGCTCAACCGGGGTGACCCTCCAGGGCCCCAGACACGCCAGTGCCTCAGGCTGACTGGAATCTGCTAAAACCAAGCCTCCAGGTCCAAGGTGACTGGATGAGCTGAGGCACATCCCAGGATCTTTTTTTGATGCAAATGCTCACTGTGCTCAGATAGTGCTGGGATGCTTTCTGCCAAGAATGCTTTCCGCAGGTTGTGCAGCTTCAGAGGGGTCCCTGGCGGGGGGGAGTTGGGCTATGTGAAGGCACCTACGCCCCCAAATCCTCCGCACCCCCAGCCCCTGGGCTCTGGGCCAGGTTCGTGCTTGCCTGTCTCCTCCTGTGGGGGGCAGGGGGTGCTAGGAGGAAGGAGGAGAAGGATGGCGTGACCCCGACCCATTCTCCCCTGCCAAAGTGAAGGATGGCTGCCTACCAGGTCACTGAGGCCTTCTCACACAGTGACATAAGCTAGGAATTACTGAAAAGAGGGGGACCCCACAGAAAGAGGAGACAGAGCCAGTGGCTGGCCATGTGAAAGGGGTATGCTTCCAGGGCTCAGGGGCAGCAAGATACCCTGGGCCCAGGAAACTCGGATACCTGGAGACACGTGACAGACCAGCAGGCCTGAACATCCCCTGGCAGAGGGCCTCCTCCTCCTGCTGACGGCATTCAGGGCCCCAGAAGGGCTCTGGCTCTGAGGCCAGTCATCAGACAAGGAGGGGCCTGTGCTCAGAGCTGGAGCCTGCAGCTGTCTTTCCAATCAGAGCTGTGTGTATTTTCATTTCCACCCAAAATAGCTATGTTAAAAAAACAAAACAAAACAAAACAAAACACAAAACCCCCCTGAACTCTAGAAAGCAAAGAAACTTTTAAAATGTCATTAGTGGAGGAGAGAAGCACTTTGCCAGCTTTTAGAGGCTATCCACGTGAGGTTCCAGGCCAGGAGGGGAGCCCAGAAGTCAGGGGATGGAGGACTCCCCTCTGCTGTTGGCTTTTGGGGAAACCTGAAACACAGTCAGGATCTTTTGAAGAGGCTGAAGTGGGGATGAATGGGTGTTATCACCAAGAAACCCGTGTTGTTGCTCTGAGCATCCTGTCCCCTAGCATCTGGGGTCCCCAGAATCTGTGCCTGCTCCCCCCACCCCCTCAAATCCTCCCTGGCTCCTCAGGCCCAGCTCAAGAACTGCATCCCCCGGGGGGTACCACATCCAGCAGGGTGAGACACACTGAGCCTGCTTGCTCTGCCTTCCACCTCTCTGTTCCAGGGGCCACCTGTTCCCCTCATACCACCCATGCGACACTGGGGGAGGCTGCCCATCACTCAATTCCCCCCATCACAGCCCGATCAATGGCTCGTCCCTCTCACTGAGCTAACCCGCAAAGCTTGAGGTCTTTCCTGAGCTTTATGGGATCTTTCCTTCTTGGTCCTGAGGCCAGAAGCCACCTCTGGCCAAGGTCCCTGCCTTGTAGAGACAGGAGGCCAGACAAGACACCAGCATGCAGAGGGACGCAGAGGAACAAAGCCCTCACTCCTGCCTCCCCTAGGCCTGTCATAGACTTGTCCCTCCCATCACAAGCCAGCAGGTACTCCCAGTGGCCCCTCCCTGCCTCCTGGGCTCCTTCCTTCCTGTCTGCAAACTGGTTCAAAGTCAGCTTCTCTTGCTAATAACAACAGAGTCCTAACACAGTATTTGCTTCGCAGTCTCCTCTTTCTGCTGGAGAGCCACAGCCACCTAGCACGCTGCCACAGCGTGCAGACACAGACACAGACTCGGGCTTTGCATACGGGACGCACACATTCCTCATCCCCCACATGCACGTGCCAGGCTGGGGCACACGTGCACTTGCTCTCCACCTGCAACCAGCAATGGAGTTGACACTTAGGCATTATAAGCTTTCGGCCCCAGCCCCAGTCTCCCACCTTCCCACTCCACCTGTCCCCTCCTATAATGGGGCACTTTATTTATTTATTTATTTATTTATTTATTTATTTATTTATTTATTTAAAAGGTTTTCTTTTTTGATGAGAGACCCAGAGAGAGAGAGAGAGAGAGAGAGAGAGAGAGAGGCAGAGACACAGGCAGAGGGAGAAGCAGGATCCATGCAGGGAGCCAAACGTGGGACTTGATCCTGGGACTCCAGGACCCTGGGCTGAAGGCAGGAGCTAAACTGCTGAGCCACCCAGGGATCTGGGGCACAGTATTTAAAGCAAAAATTATAGGGGCACCTGGCTGGCTCAGCTGGTGAAGCACATGGCTTTTGATCGCCATGAGTTCGAGCCCCACGTTGGGTGTAGAGACTACTCAAAAATAAATAAAACTTAAAGAATAAAGAAAAAATGTATACATGCACAGCCATGTTGAATGAAACTTTTTTCCATATAAAAAGTTTCAGAAAAGGTTAACATATGTGAACAAATGCTTTCTTTCCCATCAACCTGGCAGCAAACATGGGTAGTGCAGGTCCAGGTGGGTGCAGGACCAGGCAGGACACCTTGGGCATGCCGGGAGTTGCTATCTGGTTAAAGCATAAAAAACCAGCTTGGAAGTTCCAGGACCAAGACCAAACATCTCCTTGCTGAGGCCATGTGCAAACTGAAGCCAGGGGTTGGCGTTGAGAAGTCCTTGGGAATTCTGAGCAATCCCGGGCCCTCGGGGGTGTCCTGTAGCCCAGCCCTGCTGGACTGCCCATAAAGTAAGGCCCAAGCCTCTTCGCAGAGAAAACCGGGTTTCTGAGACACAAAACTCAGCCCCAGATAGTGGCAAGTCCTAGAATAATTTTATTCCCTCATGCCACCCTGGCCCTCTTTAGGCATGCTACTTTGTCCAGGAAAGGTGGAATTAGGAGCGGTCAATTGCTAATGAGGCACACCTGCCGCCTTCTACCTAAAATAGAAATTCTTTTCTGTAGAGAGTCCTCTCTGTACCTGCTATTGAAACAGGATTTGTTTCCATTGGCTTCCTGCCCGTCCGAAGCATTGGTTACTTAGCCATGCAAATAAGCATGCGCCAACAGGCCTATGGGCTCAAAGAACTGTAGCTCTGAGAGAAGCCAGCCAGACAGAAAGAGAGCAAACATTTGGAAGAAAAAGAACAGCCAAGCCTCAGGAAGGGTGGTGGAACTTTGGAGGCTTGACAGGGTTTCCAAAGTATCTTGCGATTTCAGTGAAATCGTTTCACCTACTAGCTTTGCTCTGGCTTCCTTATGGGACCCAAGAGGCATTGTTCAATGTAGCCACGTGGCAGCTCCGAGGCCTGGGACCCCAGGGCATTTGGGGGCAGGGCTGGAGGCCATACCTGAGCCGAACCTTGCCAAGATGGAAAACGCTGGGTGCTAGGCCTCACTGCGGCCTTGGCCTACAGGTCACCAGCCTGCAAAGATTTCCCAAGGCGTGGAGCTGAGGAACTCAGGGTGAGCCCCTGCAACCCGGAGTGTGCAGTCAGAGTCAATCTCAGATTCTCTCTCCAGCCCACAGGAGTCTGGCTTGACGCGTGGGGAAGGGGACACCCTCTCGCCCAAAACTCGCCTCCCTGGCTTGCTTTCCAGATTCACTTCTGGCCAATTATGCAGCTGGTGGCCTGCCTGGTTTTGCAGAATCCCATGCACTGGACTTGAGCTAGTAAATGTATCTTTTTTTTGCCATAGTAGCCATATATATTCATTAAAACACTTTGGAAGATAGAGAAAAGTAGTTGAAATAAAGTGTATTTGCTGACTGAAAATTACTTTCTCAGTGGATGTGGCTCTTCTGAGGAACTGTGAAGTCTCAAGGGCATGGCACCCAACCTTCTACCTTTTCTGTGAATTCGTCCACCATCTCCCAGGTAAGTGGTCAGAAATTTCCTTGTAATTCCTCCAGTGACTGGGACTCCACCTTACTCCTCCATGGGACGTGAAGACCTGTCAGAGTTGTGCTGGCTGAGCCATACCTGACTTTCCTGAGGATGTCTACTTGCGCCCCCGACCCCCGTCGTCAAGC